GGAATGCCAATTACCCTAGATGTGATTCCCATGTCGAAAACATTGAGCATTTTTTTTGTGACTGCTCTAGTTCAAGAAATGTTTGGACTAATTTGATATGGAAAGTCAGTATAGCTTAAATGACTGGCTTACAAAGAACTTACGGATTCCGAAAAGTACGGACCTAAGCTGGAGTTTGATGTTTCTTGTAACAATTTGGCAAATCTGGAAGGGACATAATTGAAAAGTCTTTGATAACATAGACCTATCTTGGCAAAATACTTTAGTTCTTATTAACAATTATGTTAATGAGACTAAACAAGCTTTTATCATGCCTTTATCTTCTCATAAAAGTGTACCCATTTTAATTAAGTGGTTGTCTTCTCTTACAAATAAGATAAAGTTGAATACCGATGGAAGCGCCAGAGGAAACCTAGGAAAGGTGGATTTGGAGGAGTTTTCAGAGATAAAAAAGGTATTTAGCTATGCAGGTACTTTGGAAAGCTTGACTCTTGCTCCAACTTGGAAGTTGAAATGTGGAGCTTGCACAGAGGATTGACAATTATGCTAAGGGATTGCATGAAGTAATCATTGAAACCGACTCATCCTTGGCGGAAAATTTGCTGACTGAAAGGCCATCCTAGAACTGCTTCTTTCGCAGTGTTGTTGAAGACTCAAGACATCTTATTCGAAGATGCAATTGCCCCATTCATAGCATCATGTGAAAAGACAACAATGCGCCAACATACTCATCACAATGAGTTTAGACCAAACGAATCAATTTGTGATCATGGGAGAACCTTCTGTTGAAGTTAGAAGTTAGCTAGTGACTGACATGATTGGAACGGCTTATCGGAGGATTTAATCCCTAATTTGCCTTCTTCTTGTGTGTTTTTTTCGTTTGTTTATTTTGTCTTTCATTTTCAATGTATCCAAATAAATAAATAAATAAAATAAAATAAAATAAAATAAAACCTTATCAAAACTTTAGTCATCCGTTAAACTGTCAAATTTCAAATTTAGCAATTCCAATGATAACGGCAGTACACCAATTTATTTTGTCCAAATAATTATATTATAATTACGGAGAATATTGTAGTAGCAACCATGAATGGGGATTATTCAATGGTTGCAGCACTAAACAAAACCTGTCACACTCAGTCACAGGCAGGTGACTTTACTTGAAGAAACTCAAATATTTAAAATAATAAAATAAATAAATAAGGTGAAGGTTGTTTTTGTGGGAAAAATAGAAAGTAATCGAAGGAAGAATGTTGCTGAACTTCTCAATTTATTCATTGACTGAAAGCAACTTTAAATAGAATATACAAAACAACTTAGCAGATAATATGGAACTAATCTTGATCCATACCTAACAGATTTCCAAGATAATAGAATACTCCTAAAACTTAGGACACTACAACTAACTCCCAGAAGAACAGGACAACATAGACTTATTCAAAGAAATAACAATAATTAAAATAAACTCATAACACCCTCCCTTAAACTGAGTATCTTTTAGACATCAGTTTAGAGAAAAATAAGCTCCAGCTTCTGCATGACAGTGGTCTCCTCTTCCCTCAAACAACATTCTTCAACGAACAAATACCCAACATTTGCCTCAACTTCACAAACACAGGTAGCTTGAAAGGCTTGGTGAAAATATCTGCAGCTTGATCTTCACTTCTACAGAAAATTAAATCAATGATACCATGCTTACAGAGATCACGCAAGAAATGATATCTCACATCTATATGCTTGCTCCTCCCACGTAAAACTGGATTTTTGGAAAGCTTGATTGCAAAAACATTATCACAATAAATCAATGTTGGACCTTGCTGCTGGTAGTGGAGTGCTTCAATTAACCTTCTTAGCCAAATAGCTTGACATGAACATGACGCTGTTGTAACAAATTCAGCTTCAGTTGTTGATAAAGTCACAATTTGCTATTTTTTGGATGACCATGAAACAGTCCCTGTCCCCATCATAAATACGTGACCTGAAGTGCTTTTTCTATCATCAGGATCCCCCGCATAATCACTATCAATGTAACCAAATAGACCAGATTGTGCTCCCATTTTATAGAAAATACCAAAATCCTTTGTACCTTGCAAGTAACGAAATATTCTTTTTGCTGCTGAGAGATGAAGCTCTGTTGGATTCTCCATATAGCGACTGATTAGGTTGACAGCATGCATTATATCAGGCGTGGTTAAAGTCAAATGCATTAGACTTCCCACAATTTGCTTATAAAGAGTGGAATTTACCTTATTTCCATCTGACTTCTTTTCTAGCTTCAAATCAGGTGCTGTTGAAGTTCTAACTAAATTGCAATTCTTCATATGAAACCTGTTCAAGACTTCTTGGACACATTTCTTCTGAGAAACAAAAATCCCAGCTGATGATGTACTACTTCGATGCCGAGAAAGTAGTGCATCAACCCCAAATCTGTCATATCAAACTTAGACATCATAGATTGTTTAAAACTATCAAACATGGCATTATCATTACCTATGTAAATCATGTCATCCACATATAAGCATACAATAAGAATTTTTCCACCTTCTCCAAGCTTTGTAAAAAGTGTATGCTCATATGGACATTTATGAAAGCCTTCTCTAGCAAAATAAGCATCTATACGACTGTACCAAGCTCTGGGTGTTTGTTTCAGTCCATATAATGTCTTCTTTAAGTTATAAACTTTTTGCTCATTTCCTTGCTTCACATACCCGAGAGGTTGATTCACATACACTTCTTCTTGTAATTCGCCATGTAGAAAAGTCGACTTCACGTCTAACTGCAAGATAGGCCATGAATTTTGTGTAGCAATGGAAAGCACCAACCTGATAGTATCTAATCTTGCAACTGGAGCAAACACCTCTTTGTAATCCACCCCAAACCCTTGCTTATACCCTTTTGCCACTAAACGTGCTTTGTGCTTGTCCACTTCTCCCTTCTCATTTAACTTAGTTTTGTAGACCCACTTGACATATATTGTCTTCTTCCCTTTTGGAAGATCTATCAACTCCCATGTGTCATTCTTCTCTATGGCATTGATTCCCACATCCATGGCTTTCTGCCACTTTGTTTCTTTGACAAAATCTTGAAAATTTACAGGATCACAATCTGTAAATAGAGCAAAGTGCGCGAGTGGATCAATTGTTTGATCAAATCCACTTACCTCATGATCTTGCATCCATGTTGGCCTCCTTTTAGTGCGTTGAGATCGCGATCCGGTTGGAGCATCAGGATGTTCTCCTACTGAATTTGATGGGAGCATATCACCAGATATTACTGTTTTTGGACTTTGTGGATTGGTAGGGATGGAGTCTGATTGCTGCTGCCTATGATCATCTGAAGGCTGATTACTTTCTTCATTATTTCCATCAAAATTTGTTGGAATCTGCTGCTGCTCTGAGTCATCAACAACCCACGTCCATGACCTTTCTTCGTCAAACACTACATCCCGGCTAACAATAATCTTCTTGGTGATGGGATTATATAACTTATAGGCCTTTGAATGTTCACTAACACCAAGAAAAATACATTTTTCTGCTTTGTCATAGCTTCTTCCTCTTTTCATCAGGAATGTGAGCATATGCTATACATCCGAAAATTCTAAAATAATCAACGAATGGTCTGCGCCCAGCCCATGCTTCTTCGGGTGTCATGTTTTGGACAGCTAGTGTGGGACTTCTATTCAATATGTGAACTCCCCAATTGACTGCTTCAGGCCAAAAGCTCTTTGGAACGCTTCTCCTTGCCAACATACTTCGCACCATGTTTAAGATTGTACGACTTTTCCTCTCAGACACACCATTTTGCTGTGGTGTATAGGCTGCTGTAAGTTGCCTTTTGATTCCATGTTCCTCACAAAAATTTGCAAATTCTTGTGAATTGTATTCTCCACCACGATCGGTTTGAAGAATTTGAATAGCTCTCCCAACTTCTTTCTCAAGCAAGGCCTTGTAACTTTTAAATGCTGAGAAAGCTTCAGATTTTTGCTGCAAAAAATATACCCATGTTTTCCGACAATAATCATCAATGAATGTAATAAAATACCTCTTATTACCATTGGATGTCGGATTTATGGGCCCACAAATATCAGAATGGACCAGCTCCAACGTTTTTGTAGCTCTCCATGCATTCCATTTTGGAAAGTGATCATGATGCTGCTTACCAACAACACACTCTTCACAGATTTGCTTAGGAGGATCAATTTTTGGAAGGCCTGTTACCATCTGTTTCTCATATAGGTTCTTTAACCCCTTAAAATTCAGATGACCATAGCGAAGATGCCATAGCCATGTTGAGTCTTTCACATTGGCAGAGAAGCAGGACTGAGTATCATACTTGATATGTAATGGAAACATTCGATTTGCAGTCATCTTGACATGAGCAATTGCACCTCTTTTGGGATCATTAATTAAACAGACACCATCTTTGATTGTGATTGTGTAACCTTTCTCTTGAAGTTGACCCACACTAAGCAAGTGACTTCTCAATTCTGGCACATAAAAAACACTAGAAATAATCTGAGTAGAATTATCTCTAGTTTGAATGTGAATATCACCTTTTCCCATAACCGAAATTATAGAATTGTCACCAAACTTTACAGAGGTTCGAAAAGATTCATCCAAGTTTGTAAAAATTGACTTACTTCCACACATATGATTACTGCAACCTATGTCTAGATACCATAAATTCTGCTGATTCTCTTCCATGGTATGACACGCCATTAGAAGAGTGGATTCTTCTTCTATCCCTACAAAATTGGACTTTTTTCCTTTTTCTTTGTGTAAATTAGTACGGCATTCAGACTTATAATGTCCATACCTGTGGCAGTGGTAGCACTCAATATTTGATTTGTCCCATTTTACTTCATGATTAGTTGACTGCTGGTTGTAATGCTCCCTACCTCTGCTTCTTGAATTTGGAGTGTGGTTGTCCTCTTTGTTATTTATGGGTCTGCCATCACAACTTTCTCTTCCCCTACCTCGACCGCAGCCTCGTCCTCTACCTCAACCGAATCCTCTTGCTGCTGAAGATTCACCATTGGTTGAGACCTTCAAGGCTTGCTCCTCTGTGGTACTACGGTTAAGATTTTGCTCATGGACCTGTAACAAACTCTGCAACTCATCAACCGATAGTTCATCAATGTCCTTGGACTCCTCAATTGAACAGACTATGTAATCAAATTTCATAGTCATGGAGCGAAAAAATTTTTCCACGATGATAACATCTTGTATCTGGTCACCATGGATCCGCATCTTATTTGCAATCGTCATTGTCCTTGAAAAATAATCTGAAACACTCTCACCAGATTTCATTTGTAGGGTCTCGAATTCTCGATAAAGTGCTTGGAGTTGGGAGCGATTGACCTTCGATGTGCCTTGATATTTCTTCTTCATTGAGTCCCATATCTGCTTTGAAGTTTCTTTCCGGAGAATGGTCTCTAGAATTGTACGATCAATTGCCTGAAATAAGTAATTTTTCACCTTGAGATCCTTCAGCCTTTGTTCATCGAGTCTCTTCTGCTGTGCTTCTGACAAAACTGCTCCAGTTTCAGGTTCCACAAAGCCGGTTGCCACGAGAGTCCAATATTCTTTGGATCGTAGAAAATTCTCCATTAACATGCTCCAGTGATCATAGTGACCATCGAAGCGAGGAATAGCTGGCTGGACATAGTTATCGACGACCTTATCAGCCATGAATGATTGCTACTAATAGTAAGAAGATTGCTGCTTCTAAGGAGAATTTCTTGGTAGCTCTGATACCAAATGTGGGAAAAACATAAAGTAATCGAAGGAAGAATGTTGCTGAACTTCTCAATTTATTCATTAACTGAAAGAAACTTTAAATAGAATATACAAAAACAAACTTAGCAGATAATATGGAACTAATCTTGATCAATAACTAACAGACTTTCAAGATAATAGAATACTCCTAAAACTTAGGACACTACAACTGACTCCCAGAAGAACAGGACAACATAGACTTATTCAAAGAAATAACAATAATTAAAATAAACTTATAACAGTTTTGAGTATGACTTACAAGCTGAATGTTTTACATATTATAAAAAGATTTATAGAAAAATAGAGATGATTTAACATAAACAAATTAATAAAATAATAAAATAAATTGTTTTTTTTGGTACCCAAAAGAGACTTCAGTGTATATTATCTGCTGTAAGGCTTTGTGTCTACGTGTGTGTTCTTTTTTTTTTAGTAAAATATTCTGAGTTAATTTACACCCACCAAATTAAATTTCTATAGTCCCAATAAACCTTCCGAAACAAGTTTGGTGTGTTCAGTTCTTGAATGGGCAGATTATTCCCATTCTCAAGGTAGGGTAAGATCCCCATCTTACATGCTCTGCCCACATGCATCGGTGAGACCATGCATTCACAAAAGAAAAACATGTTTTTATAATTAATTTTATTTTTTTTTTGAAAATCATTTACACACAAATTTATAAAATAAACAACTCAAATTACTAAAATTGAGATGTGTAATAAGGCTTGGTTTGACATAATAAAAAAATGTCAAAAAGTCACTATCGTATTTAAGTCACATCATCTTATTTAAGTTATATCACCTCTCTATCACATCACTTCAAACTTAACTCATACCCAACCCATATTTCATAAAAAGTCAAAAAGTACACTTATTTAGGACACCCCAAACAATCCTTACGCTGTGTTTGGTTAGGGGATTTGAGAAGAGATTTGGAAAGGGAAAAAGAAAAGGTGTGTGAAACTATGTGAAATATAGGTATATTTTATTCATATTTCACCTAATTTTCCATTTTCCTTTCCAAATCTCTCCTCAAATTCCCCAACCAAACACAGCATTAATCTAGCAGTTGTTAATCATCTTGGATAGCTAAGAATTTAGTTACCTGAGAAGAGTAATTGCAAACAACAAATCCATATTATCAATAATGCATTTAATCGATTTCTTAGCTATGTCTGGTGCGTGAGTGATTTTCTGATCACACTGCCCAACTCAGTAATCAGCTGGAGAACACTGGCAGAATAGATGACACCTGGCTAACCTGTAACAGAAATAGAAGATTCCGGCGGTGGTTCGTCCACCCGGGGGCACTCCGACGATCAAGTCAGTATATCTCTCAAAGATAATCAACAGTGCTTAACTCATTAGACAGAATATAAATTGCGTACCTTAGACTCATGGGGGTGCCTCTCTTTTATAACTAACTCAATCCTTGTCCCAACAAGAGCCTAACTCTAATGGACTTAGGATTACCATCAATCTTGGACTCCTAGTAGGATTGGGATAAACTCCCTAAGAGTCTTATCATTTCCCAACTGTAGTCTTCCCCTTTTCTAGGATTCTTTTGCCTTATCCGCTTATCTCGGATTTCGATATCTTCGGAGGTAACCTCGGCCTCGCCGAGATAACCTCGGCGTCATGCCCAGAACATGTGGCACCTCGGCTGACACGTCGGCGTCACCTTAGCCACGTATTGGTACTCAGAAAATATATCCCCCTAGGTTCTATTACCTCGACATTCTGAGGTGATGGAACCTATATCAGTACCTCATGCTAGTACATTGGCTTAGGCTGAGATCATCATCGTAAGCCGATATGTCCTCTTCAAGATCAAGAATCCCAAGGGCTTCTTCACGTGTATGAGCTGTCATACATCACAATTCAACCGTTTCGGCTACGTGTCCTTTTCTTATTGGATCGTACTTGGCACGTGCTTCGTAATCATCTCACACATACGTGCGCCGTCTGACGCTCGCGTTGTCCCAGGCGTATTAATTGCCCTCTTTTGCCGTCGTTTCAAGTTTTTGACAAAACTTGTTTCCCTCTTTCATTTTTTTCACTTTTCATTCGATTTCATAGCTTTTTCTCTATCTAGCTCTTGAATACGCCATTGTTCCAGACCTCAAGCTCTGTAACTGCCTTCATTCCTCCTTCTGGTGAAGCTTCCGTCGTTCTGTTACTTCTGTAACCAGTGTCTGACTTCGGCGATTCTTACACCGGCTTCTTTTCTTCGATGAGTTTACTGTTCCTTTCGTTTTCAATTCTTTGATGCTTTCTATTACTTGCTGCCATTACTACATTTGTTCAAACTTTTAACTTGTGAATCATTTATCTGAATGTGTTTTTTTCACGATTTTGCCCTTGCCCATATCTAAAACACATGCACTGTTTCACCACTTCCCTATACTTTTGCTACTGTTCTTAGCCCTATACTTCTTGTATTCTTTATGCTCTTAATAGACCATCTCTGTTCTTGATTCTGAAACTCGTTCTTGTTTCTGTTTTTTTTTTTTTTTGGTGTCTTTTCCAGATTCGTGCCTTCAATCTTCATATCCATAGACTTAGGTTTGAGATTTGTCTGTAGAACCCACAATTTAGGAAAAACTGAAACGACTCTAGATCCATACAAAAACCCTTACCAAAGTGTTCTTTTAGGTTTTTGGCCGAGGTCCTTTAAACCTTCAAAAATACTTCTTCCTAAAATCTGATATCTCCATTTAAGCCGACATCATGGGTATGTGGAAACATAGGGTAAACACCCCATCCAAACTAGAATTCTTTAGACAAGAGTTTGAAATCCCAGCCGACGTCCATCTGAGGTTGGCTGGGGATGATGACTCCATCATGCCTACTGATGACTCCATGCCTTTCCCTGTGGTAGCCTTCATTAAGTGTGGACTTCGGCTCCCACTTAACATCCTTTTCCGTGAAATACTTCATTATTACAAGTTAAACCCAATGCAATTTTCCATCAATTCCTATCGAACCATCAATGGTATCATAGCCTTAGCCAAACAAGAAACGCTAGGATCACATTAGCCGATATCCAGTATTGCTACACTATGTGTGGCCTCAAAAAAGACACCGGCTACGTTTACTACCTCAAGCCGAGGTCCACTGAATACAAAATCGTTGCCGACCTCCCTGACTCCAACAAGGGAGCTGGGGATGATTATTTCATTATTTCGGGGAACTGGGAGTTCGCCCCAGATGAAGACCTCCATCTCTTCCCTCTCATTCGATCAGTCTTTATAAAGGGCAATGGTAAGAGCCCTGTATTCATACCTACTTTGTTTTTTAAAGTCTTTCATACTTTATTTATTTCTTAATGTCTATTTTTTCTTGCAGCTGTTCTTAAGCCACCAAAAAACTTTTGCCAATCCTTCATTCCCAGCAAGGATTTGAAGAGGCTTTTGGACTTGCCAGTCTATAAACGGAAGGCACCTCTGCTTCTTAATTTTATTCCAACATACAAGTCAGCTTTGCCCGACGTCCCTAGGAAGAAGAAGAAAAGCCTCTCTCCACCATCTGCCACAACTCCACAAACCGCGCCCACATCTCGGACAGACCAAAGGTCAACCTCTGATCCAGCTGAGACACCGTCAACCTCGGCTCCATACTTGACTCCAATATCCCAACGCCGCCGTCGACGCCGAACAGTTTCTACTGCCGAGATGGGTCGCCCAAAACCAGTTGCTAAAGATCTTATAGCCAACATTCCAACTGATGTTGATGCTCAATCAACACAAACCCTGCCTCTACCAAAACCGAAAAGAATAAAAAAGGCTCAGCCAAAGGCTAAGGTTACTCAAATTGAGTCTGAGGATACTTTGACAATCTCAAAACTGGCTCCAAGTGAAAAAACTGCCTCTGTCCTTGCGAAGAGATCCGCTGAGACACTTCCTTCTGAATCCACCAAATCCAAAAGACCGAGGTCATCTTCTGCAACGACCTCAGGGTCTAAAAAGCCTGCTGCCCCCTGGGCCCCCGAAATTACCTTGGAAGATAAGCCAGTTATGGGCAATGATAGCACTGAGGACATCAATGCCGGCGTAGCCCTCAGTACTGCTCTGCTTCTCCCCGGCGATCTTGACCGAAACATCGGGTTGAACGAGTATGAAAATTACGCTCTGATGCTTCAACGTTCTGTTCAAGTAAGTGTCTTTCATCTGGCACTTTTTTTCTTCTTTCTCATACTTAGAAATTTTCTAATAACTTTTGTTTTGTTCAATTTCAGGCCATCCAGCATGCCCATTCTTTCTCTGTTCAATCTTTCAAAAATCGAGAAAAGTTGGCTGAGATGAAAAGGGAGTTCTCTTCTCTTCAAAAGGCCAACAAAAGCCTTCAATCGAAAATGAAGAAGTTGGAAGACCAAGCTGAGGCCGCCATCAAGGCCTAAACCGATGCCGAAGAAAAGGCTGAATCTGCCGAGGCCATTAGGAAGGTCTCTGAGGCCCAAAAAAGAGAGGCCGAGGAAAAAATGAAACAGGCCCAAAAAGAGCTTCAAGAGGCTTTGGCCACGAAAGAAGCCGAAATCAAAGATGCCGATGAGAAGGCATATGCTCAGGGCATGGCCGATGTTACGGAGGCATACGAAAAACAAGTGAAGGAGGCATGCAACAAGGGTTTCACCCTTGGTTGGATGTCCTTTCTAAAAAAGCTTAATGTCCCTGAGGATTCGCCTTTGAGAAGCGCCGACGCCATTCCTCTTCCATTCCCTCCGACTCCAACTCTTGCTCAATCTGATGATGAATCTGATTCTGAGGATGAGGCCGAGGAGAAAGTTTTAGTGAGGAAGTCCAAAGATGCTGGTGGGGCCAAGTCTCCTCCTCAAAATGAACAAGTCCTGGACTTGACTCAAGATGAGAAGGGTGATGAGGTCCTCACAGATGCTGCTCCTGAGAGGGTTTCAG